TGAGCCCCCGGCCGGGAGCGGCCCCGCCGGCGGGGACGGCCGAGGTGGACACGTCGCCAGGCCGCTCCGGCTCCCTGGAAGTGCGGGCGGGCAGGGTGCCAGGCGGGCGGGCACGGGGGTGTTACCCGCTGGCTGGGCTGTGGCGCCGCTGGACTCCTCGTGCGTGCAGTAGTGAGAGGGGAAGGGGCCGCGGCGCTTGGGTAGTGCGTGTGGCGCGGGGCCAAGACCCCCAGGAGCTGCCTGCTCCCTCCTTGCGCCAGCTGCTCCGTGGGCCTGGGGGCTGCAGGTCTCGCCCCGGAGCTCCAGAGGGGCAGCAAAGTGCCAGTGCCGGTGCCGTGTGGGGCTGCCCAGCCACTGCCACAGGTGACAGCCACGGAGCGGGTTGTGCTGTCACCCAGTGCAGGGCCTGAGCCCGACACTGCAGCCCGTGGCCCTCGCGTGGTGGCTGGACTGGTGGGGAGGGGGCCGCAGCACTGGCTGGGCGCATGCCCGAGGGTCACTTGCAGCAGAGCCCCCTGGTCCCGGCTGGGGCGCGTGGCCCCGGGCGGCAGTGTGCAGAGCCTCCCCGTGTGTCCGTTGCGGCTTGGGTTGCGTGGGGCCTGCAAGAGACCTGGTGTGGTGAGCGCGGAGGGTGATGTCTCCTTCCCTGTTGAGGGGTCCTTCCTGCTGCGCCCACCCCACCAGCATGCTCCTTGTCTGGCAGCGGCTGGACTCTGCCCTGCGCCCAGCCCTGCCGCAGCCGTTCCCACCTGCCCGCCCAGCAGTGTTTGTCCGGGGTGGGGGCTGTTTGCTGTGCTGATGCCAGCCGGCCGGCGCACTAACCAGCCTGGCCCCCCACCTGGGGCCTGTGGTGCTTTCCCAGCTCATGCACAGGACACCTGGGTTCTGCGAGGGGAGTAGGGTCTAGTGGGGGGAGGGGGAGGGGGAGGCGGGTGACAGCCAGGACCCCTGGGTTCTATCCCTGGTCCTGGCAGAGGAGCAGGGCCTAGTGGTTAGAGCATAGGGGCAGGGGGCTGGGAGCCAGGATGCCTGGGCTCTATTTCCAGCTGTGCTGCTGACTGAGCAGCTTTTGGCAAGCCTCGTCCTGTCCTTGCCTCAGTTTCCCCCTCACCAAGTGAAGCAACGTCCTCTTGCCCTGGCCTGCGGAGGGATCAGTGCCTGGATCCGGGCCTGTCTGAGCCTGCCTGTGTGCGTTGGGGGAGGGGGTGCTGGGCTGCCCCCATCCCCCCTCCCAGGGCAGAGCTGCACGGCAGGGGGAGGGTGCGCCCGGGTGCAGGAGCAGGGCTGTGCTGTGCAGAAGGGGAAGCTGCAGGGATGGGGGGGGTGCGGGCTG